CATGTGTGGGAGTGTAGTTCTACACCTGACATGTGTGGGAGTGTAGTTCTACACCTGACATGTGTGGGAGTGTAGTTCTACACCTGACATGTGTGGGAGTGTAGTTCTACACCTGACATGTGTGGGAGTGTAGTTCTACACCTGACATGTGTGGGAGTGTAGTTCTACACCTGACAGGTGTGGGAGTGTAGTTCTACACCTGACAGGTGTGTGGCAGTGTAGTTCTACACCAGACAGGTGTGTGGCAGTGTAGTTCTACACCAGACAGGTGTGTGGCAGTGTAGTTCTACACCTGACAGGTGTGTGGCAGTGTAGTTCTACACCTGACATGTGTGGGAGTGTAGCTCTACACCTGACAGGTGTATAGTAGTAGTTCTGGTCATTAACACAACATAAATCCTCCCATTAAATCCGTGATGGAACATTACAGATGTTAGTAAACCTCTTGAGTGGTCGAAGTGTAGCGTTTAATGGGATGAACGCTACATTTGAGGTAAACATCGGACGTGAATCCTGGAAGTCACAGGGTTCGTGTAAAAAAAAATCACAAATACGAATTAAAGAGAGAAATATTCGGAGGATGTTTGAGACAGAGATGAATAGAGAAAACTAAGAACTAACTGAAATTTCTCACTCTCTCTGTCTGTCTCGTATCCCTGCCTCCCTAAATATCTATGCCCCCGGTGCCTGCACCTTGATCTCTCCCTCCCTCCATCTCTTTCTCCCCCTGTCGGCCTCTTCTCCCTGCCAGTTGACACAGGGAGAGCTCAGCCTCCTTCCTCTGCATAATTCAAACTTTCAGATATGTGGAGATATGTGGAATATTAAGAGAAACAGGTGAGCACTCTGTGTGTTGTGTTGTGTTGTGTGTGTGTGTTGTGTGTGTGTGTGTGTGTTGTGTGTGTGTTGTTTTTGTGTTGTGTGTGTTGTGTGTGTTGTGTGTGTGTTGTGTGTGTTTGTGTTGTGTTGTGTTGTGTGTGTGTTGTGTTGTGTGTGTGTGTGGGGTGTGTTGTGTTGTGTGTGTGTGTGTTGTGTGTGTTGCGTGTTGTGCGTGTGTTTGTGTTGTGTTGTGTGTGTTGGGGTTGTGGTGTGTTGCGTGTTGTGGGGTGTTGTGTGTGTTGTGTGTGTGCGTGTTGTGTGTTTGTGTGTGTTGTGTTGTGTTGGTTTGTGTGTTGTTTTGTGTGTGTTGTGTGTTGTGTGTGTTGTGTTGTTTTGTGTGTGTGTGGTGTGTGTGTTTGTGTGTGTGTTGTGTTGTGTGTGTTGTGTTGTGTGTGTGTTGTGCGTGTGTGTGTGTGTGTTGTGCGTGTGTGTGTGTGTGTGTTGTGCGTGTGTGTGTTGTGCGTGTGTGTTGTGCGTGTGTGTTGTGCGTGTGTGTTGTGCGTGTGTGTTGTGCGTGTGTGTTGTGCGTGTGTGTGTGTGTGCGTGTGTGTTGTGCGTGTGTGTGCGTGTGTGGTGTTGTACTTTGTGTGTGTGTTGTGCTTTGTGTGTGTGTTGTGCGTGTGTGTGTTGTGCGTGTGTGTGTGCGTGTTGTGTGTGTGTGTTGTGCGTGTGTTGTGCGTGTGTGTTGTGCGTGTGTGTTGTGCGTGTGTGTTGTGCGTGTGTGTGTTGTGCGTGTGTGTGTTGTGCGTGTGTTGTGTGTGTTGTGCATGTGTGTGTTGTGCGTTGTGTTGTGCGTGTGTGTTGTGCGTGTGTGTGTTGTGCGTGTGTTGTGCGTGTGTATTGTGCGTGTGTGTTGTGCGTGTGTGTTGTGCGTGTGTTGTGCGTGTGTGTGTTGTGCGTGTGTGTGGGGGTGTTGTGCGTGTGTGTGTGTTGTGCGTGTGTGTGGTTTGGCGTGTGTGTGTGTGTTGTGCGTGTGTGTGTGTTGTGCGTGTGCGTGTGTGTGTGTTGTGCGTGTGTGTGTGTGTGTGTGTTGTGCGTGTGTGTGTGTGTTGTGTGTGTGTTGTGCGTGTGTGTGTTGTGCGTGTGTGTGTGTTGTGGGTGTGTGTGTGTGTGTGTGTGTGTGTGTGTGTGTGTGTGTGTGTGTTGTGCGTGTGTTGTGCGTGTGTTGTGCGTGTGTTGTGCGTGTGTTGTGCGTGTGTTGTGCGTGTGTGTGTTGTGCGTTTGTGTGTGTTGTGCGTGTGTGTTGTGCGTGTGTGTGTTGTGCGTGTGTGTGTGTGTGTGGTGCGTGTTGTGTGTGTGTGTGGTGCGTGTGTGTGTTGTGCGTTTGTGTTGTGTGTTGTGCGTTTGTGTTGTGTGTTGTGCGTTTGTGTTGTGTGTTGGTGCGTTTGTGTGGTGTTGTGCGTGTGTGTGGTGTTGTGCGTGTGTGTGGTGTTGTGCGTGTGTGTGGTGTTGTGCGTGTGTGTGGTGTTGGGTGCGTGTGTGTGGTGTTGTGCGTGTGTGTTGTGCGCGTGTGTGTTGTGCGCGTGTGTGTTGTGCGGTGTGTGGTGCGCGTGTGTGTGCGCGTGAGTGGTGCGCGTGCGTGGTGCGCGTGTGTGGTGTGCGTGTGTGGTGTGCGTGTGTGGTGTGCGTGTGTGGTGTGCGTGTGTGGTGTGCGTGTGTGGTGTGCGTGTGTGGTGTGCGTGTGTGGCGTGCGTGTGTGGCGTGCGTGTGTGGTGTGCGTGTGTGGTGTGCGTGCGTGTGTGGTGTGCGTGTGCGTGTGTGGTGTGCGTGTGTGGTGTGCGTGTGGTGTGTGTTGTGCACATGCACACAGTTTTAAGACTAGATATGATACAGCTTATGGAGCAGGGAGGGAGGACCCAGTAGCGATCAGTGAAGAGGGAGGGCCAGGAGCTGAGTCTCGGCCCCTGCAACCACAACTAGGCGAGTACAATTAGGCGAGTGTACACACACACTCCTATTTGTGCTTACAGGGGGTCGAGTCACAGCGCCTCAGTGTGCGCGAGAAGAGAAACAGAGGAAGAGGAGATTAAAAACAGAGAGAGAGAGAGAGAGAGAGAGAGAGAGAGAGACGGAAAACAATTGGGGTAGAATCAAGGAGGGAGAGAGGGGAAAAATGAAGGCGACAATGATAGAAAATGAGGGAGGAAGGGAGAGAAAGCAACAAAGGGAGAATAACAGAAGCATCTTCACCCATCTCGACCTCTGAACTTAACACTCAAGCCTTGGCTCCCTCCCCAGGGAGCTGGCAACACTTCCTATCCTCCCTGAGAGCGTTGGCAACACTTCCTATCCTCCCTCCCTGAGTTACCTGGAGACAGCAACACTTCCTATCCTACCTCCCTGAGTTACCTGGAGACAGCAACACTTCCTATCCTCCCTCCCTGAGTTACCTGGAGACAGCAACACTTCCTATCCTACCTCCCTGAGTTACCTGGAGACAGCAACACTTCCTATCCTACCTCCCTGAGTTACCTGGAGACAGCAACACTTCCTATCCTACCTCCCTGAGTTACCTGGAGACAGCAACACTTCCTATCCTCCCTCCCTGAGTTACCTGGAGACAGCAACACTTCCTATCCTACCTCCCTGAGTTACCTGTAGACAGCAACACTTCCTATCCTACCTCCCTGAGTTACCTGGAGACAGCAACACTTCCTATCCTACCTCCCTGAGTTACCTGGAGACAGCAACACTTCCTATCCTACCTCCCTGAGTTACCTGGAGACAGCAACACTTCCTATCCTCCCTCCCTGAGTTACCTGTAGACAGCAACACTTCCTATCCTCCCTCCCTGAGTTACCTGTAGACAGCAACACTTCCTATCCTACCTCCCTGAGTTACCTGGAGACAGCAACACTTCCTATCCTACCTCCCTGAGTTACCTGGAGACATCAACACTTCCTATCCTACCTCCCTGAGTTACCTGGAGACATCAACACTTCCTATCCTATCTCCCTGAGTTACCTCGAGACATCAACACTTCCTATCCTATCTTCCTGAGTTACCTCGAGACATCAACACTTCCTATCCTACCTCCCTGAGTTACCTGCAGACATCAACACTTCCTATCCTACCTCCCTGAGTTACCTGCAGACATCAACACTTCCTATCCTATCTCCCTGAGTTACCTGCAGACATCAACACTTCCTATCCTACCTCCCTGAGTTACCTCGAGACATCAACACTTCCTATCCTACCTCCCAGAGTTACCTGGAGACAGCAACAACACCTATCCTCCGTGAGAGCTGAGAACACTTCCCAGACTCCCTGAAAGTTGGCAACACAACTGATGCAGGTATTGTGTTTAAACACACAAATCATCACCAATTTCCAATCAGACTAACTATTTCCACTTGCAATCACACTACATTTTCCAGGAAAGAAAGCTATCAATGAATATATATATATATATATATATATATATATATATATATTATATATTATATATATATATATATATATATACATATATAATATATATTATTAGTTTGTTAGGAAACACGACACGTGTTTCCTAATGCTGGTATTATTTATATGACCTACAGCTGGAGCTTTTGGTTATCTGACCAAGGCCTTCCACTGGCTTACCGCTCCACCTCCTTTAAAAATTATGGGTTAGGATTATAAGCATTTCGATTCCCTTGGTCAGGTTTATTTAGTACATTATACACGCACGCGCGCACACTGCAAATATATTCTGTATATATTTATCGTAGGAAAACTCGACAATGTCCTCACCTGCTCTTTATTTTTTATTCTGATATTTTACGGTAAATGGAAACTCAATTTCCATTGAAAAAGAACTTTTATGGCTCCTGCCTCCGTATTATTTCTCTGCGACGGCTGATACAGCTAGAAAAAATATTCTTAGTTCCCCTTCTTTACATCTTTCGCAGAAAACGGAAACATTGTATTTATTTAGATCAATAGAGAAAACGGAGTTAATATACAGTATACTTATATAAATTTTCTCCTCCCCCCATCCCCCTGCCCCTCGTCCCGCTAACTTCACTACATTCCCACTCCTTTTAGCCTACCCACCTGCTAACCCCTTCCCTTTACCCCTTGGAAAACTCCTCCAAAGGCCCACTAACACACCCCCTTTCCCCTCCCTCTGGCAGACTGTCCGGCAGCAGAAGACCAGATGGAGAGGTTTCCCTGTCCGTCTCCAGACAGGATGGGTCGCTATCGTTGTATTGATGACCACGTCCTCTGTGATGGTTTCATTGACTGTCCTGACGGAGAGGACGAAGATAGACAGCAATGTATGTTCTACAAAACGGTGAGTATCCCAAATGCTATCCCCTTCCTATTACCGGTGACCCGTGGCCTGATAGGCAACGCTCTGGCTTCACTCACACACACACACACACACACACACACACACACACACACACACACACACACACACACACACACACACACACTGTCCGTGGTTCGATCCTCGACAAGGGTAGAAACATTTGGCGTATTTCCTTATACCTGTAGTCCCGTTCACCTAGCAAGCAAGTAGGTACCTGGGCGTTGTGGACTGGTGTGGGTGGCATCCTGGGGGACAAGATTGCGGGCCACAATGGAAATAAGACAGTCTTCGATGGCGCACTGACTTTCATGGGTTATCCTGTGTTAATAAGTTTATTTAGGCACAGTTATACATAGTGTAAATTACCAAAAAGTCGTAAATTACCTAGGATAACGCCCAAAAAAGTCCAAGTGACATTTCCATTGTTTTTTTTTATTTAGGCTTTGTGTGCATTTAATGTAACTCTTCTTTTTACAATGGTCGCGAACACACACGTATTAAAAACAGATTACCAATATTTTATGTAAAAATGAGCCCTCGTGGTTATGTATTACTACAGATACCTAAAAGTTTCTAGATAGTAACCCTAGAGAGTAACACAGACTTCTTACCCTGCCCAGGATGCCACCCACAACAGTCAACTAACACCCGGGTACCTATTTAGTAAACTGCTAGGTAAACAGTGGCAGAAGTGTTTTGAAGACTTGTACATACATCTCACCCTACCCAGGATGCCACCCACACGTCAACTAACACCTACATACCTATATACTACTAAGTGAACAGAAGCAGGTATCACGAAACATCAATAGCTCTCGCCCCACCCACAAATCGAACCCAGGTCCTCTCTGTTCTGAGCCGAATGCTCCACTATTGAAGCATAAGACAGTTGCAACAACAAAATACAATGATTCATCCTCAGCTGTTCATAATACAAGCCTTAAGATAAGATAAGATTTCGTTCGGATTTTTAACCCCGGAGGGTTAGCCACCCAGGATAACCCAAGAAAGTCAGTGCGTCATCGAGGACTGTCTAACTTATTTCCATTGGGGTCCTCAATCTTGTCCCCCAGGATGCGACCCACACCAGTCGACTAACACCCAGGTACCTATTTGCTGCTAGGTGAACAGGACAACAGGTGTAAGGAAACGTGTCGAAATGTTTCCACCCGCCGGGAATCGAACCCGGGCCCTCCGTGTGTGAAGCGGGAGCTTTAGCCACCAGGCCACCGGGCCACATATACAAAATCCACATTGTTATAATACTGGAATAATGAGGTGCCGTCATACCTCACCATACACACAATGACAACGCTTGCCTACAGCTATACAACTACATAAATACCTCTTAATAGATGCAGAATTATGATTGGACGCTTCATAGCTGGATATTAATCGTTATTAGTTGAAAAATATTACACAGGCATAGAAAACCTGTATACATAAAGGAAATTGAATAATCACACACAAATATATACGATAACACTGTGTTGTGTGTGTGTGTGTGTGTGGATGTGTTGTGTTGTGTGTGTGTGTGTGTTGTGTGTGTGTTTGTGTTGTGTGTGTGTTTGTGTGTGTGTGTGTGTGTTGTGTGTGTGTGTGTGTGTGTGTGTGTGTGTGTGTTGTGTGTTGTGTGTGTGTGTTGTGTGTGTGTGTGTGTGTGTGTGTGTTGTGTGTGTGTGTGTGTGTGTGTGTTGTGTTGTGTGGTGTGTGTGTGTGTGGTGTGTTGTGTTGTGTGTGTTGTGTGTGTGTGTTGTGTGGTGTGTGTTTGTGTGTGTGTGTTGTGTGTGTGTGTGTGTGTGTGTGTGTGTGTTGTGGTGTGTGTTGTGTGTGTGTGTGTGTTGTGTGTGTGTGTGTTGTGTGTGTGTGTTGTGTGTGTGTGTGTGTGTGTTGTGTGTGTGTTGTGTGTGTGTGTGTGTGTGTGTGTTGTGTGTGTTGTTGGTGTGTTGTGTGTGTGTGTGTTGTGTGTGTGTGTGTGTGTGTGTGTTGTGTGTGTGTTGTGTGTGTGTGTTGTGTGTGTGTGTGTGTGTTGTGTGTGTGTTGTGGTGGTTTGTTTGTGTGTGTGTGTGTTTTTACCTGGAGTTCCGGGGGTCAACGCCCCCGCGGCCCGGTCTCTGACCAGGCCTCCTGGTGGATCAGAGCCTGATCAACCAGACTGTTACTGCTGGCTGCATGCAAACCAACGTACGAGCCACAGCCCGGCTGATCAGGAACCGACTTTAGGTGCTTGTCCAGTGCCAGCTTGAAGACTGCCAGGGGTCTGTTGGTAATCCCCCTTATGTATGCTGGGAGGCAGTTGAACAGTCTCGGGCCCCTGACACTTATTGTATGGTCTCTTAATGTGCTAGTGACACCCCTGCTTTTCATTGGGGGGGGGTGTTGCATCGTCTGCCAAGTCTTTTGCTTTCGTAGTGATTTTCGTGTGCAAGTTCGGTACTAGTCCCTCTAGGATATTCCAGGTGTATATAATCATGTATCTCTCCCGCCTGCGTTCCAGGGAATACAGGTTCAGGAACCTCAAGCGCTCCCAGTAATTGAGGTGTTTTATCTCCGTTATGCGCGCCGTGAAGGTTCTCTGTACATTTTCTAGGTCAGCAATTTCACCTGCCTTGAAAGATGCTGTTAGTGTGCAGCAATATTCCAGCCTAGATAGAACAAGTGACCTGAAGAGTGTCATCATGGGCTTGGCATCCCTCGTTTTGAAGGTTCTCATTATCCATCCTGTAATTTTTCTAGCAGATACGATTGATACAATGTTATGGTCCTTGAAGGTGAGATCCTCCGACATAATCACTCCAAGGTCTTTGACGTTGGTGTTTCGCTCTATTTTGTGGCCAGGATTTGTTTTGTACTCTGAAGAAGATTTAATTTCCTCGTGTTTACCATATCTGAGTAAGTGAAATTTCTCATCGTTGAACTTCATATTGTTTTCTGCAGCCCACTGAAAGATTTGGTTGATGTCCGACTGGAGCCTTGCAGTGTCTGCAATGGAAGACACTGTCATGCAGATTCGGGTGTCATCTGCAAAGGAAGACACGGTGCTGTGGCTGACATCCTTGTCTATGTCAGATATGAGGATGAGGAACAAGATGGGAGCGAGTACTGTGCCTTGTGGAACAGAGCTTTTCACCGTGCCTGCCTCGGACTTTACTCTGTTGACTACTACTCTCTGTGTTCTGTTAGTGAGGAAATTATAGATCCATCGACCGACTTTTCCTGTTATTCCTTTAGCACGCATTTTGTGCGCTATTACGCCATGGTCACACTTGTCGAAGGCTTTTGCAAAAGTCTATATATATTACATCTGCATTCTTTTTGTCTTCTAGTGCATCTAGGACCTTGTCGTAGTGATCCAAGAGTTGAGACAGACAGGAGCGACCTGTTCTAAACCCATGTTGCCCTGGGTTGTGTAACTGATGGGTTTCTAGATGGGTGGTGATCATGCTTCTTAGGACTCTTTCAAAGATTTTTATGATATGGGATGTTAGTGCTATCGGTCTGTAGTTCTTTGCTGTTGCTTTACTGCCCCCTTTGTGGAGTGGGGCTATGTCTGTTGTTTTTAATAACTGTGGGACGACCCCCGTGTCCATGCTCCCTCTCCATAGGATGGTAAAAGCTCGTGATAGGGGCTACTTGCAGTTCTTGATGAACACGGAGTTCCATGAGTCTGGCCCTAGGGCAGAGTGCATGGGCATGTCATTTATCGCCTGTTCGAAGTCATTTGGCGTCAGGATAATATCAGATAGGCTTGTGTTAACCAAATTCTGTGGCTCTCTCATAAAAAATTCATTTTGATCTTCGACTCTCAGTCTGGTTAGTGGCTTGCTAAAAACTTAATCATATTGGGACTTGAGCAGCTCACTCATTTCCTTGCTGTCATCTGTGTAGGACCCATCTTGTTTAAGTAAGGGCCCAATACTGGACGTTGTTCTCGACTTTGATTTGGCATAGGAGAAGAAATACTTTGGGTTTCTTTCGATTTCATTTATGGCTTTTAGTTCTTCCCGCGATTCCTGACTCCTATAAGATTCCTTTAGCTTAAGTTCGATGTTTGCTATTTCTCTGACCAGTGTCTCCCTACGCATTTCTGATAGATTGACCTCTTTTAGCCGCTCTGTTATTCTTTTCCGTCGCCTGTAAAGAGAGCGCCTGTCTCTTTATTTTACATCTACTCCTCCTTTTTGGGTTTGGGGTTTGGGGGTTGGGGTGGGTTTGTTGTGGTTTGTGTGGGTTTTGTTTGTTTGTGTTTGTGTGGTTTGTTGGTTTTTGTTTTTGGTTTTTTTGGTGTGTGTTTGTGGGTTTTGTTTTTTTGGGGTTTTTTGTTTTTGTTGGGTGTGTGTGGTTGGGGGGGTGTTTTGTTGTTGGTTTGGGGTTGGGGTTTTTGTGGTGGTGTTTTGTTTTTGGGGGGTTTTGTTTTTTTTGTGTTGTGTTTTTGGGTTTTTTGTGGGGGGTTTTGTTTGTGGGGTGGGTTTTTTGGTTTTGGTTGTGTGGGGTGTTTTTGGTGGTGGTGTGTGGGTTTGTTTTGTGGGGGTTTGGTTTGTGTGTGTGTTTTTTGTTTTGGTTTGGTGGTTTTGGTTGTTTTTGGGTTTTTTTTGTTTGTTTTGTGTGTTGTTTTTTTTTTTTTGGTTTTTTTGTGTTTGGGGGTTGGGGGGGGGGGTTTTGTTGGGTTGGGGTTTGTTGTTTGTTTGGTGGGGGTTTTGGATTTTTCGTTTTTTTAGGTTTTGTTTTGTTGTTGGTTTTTGTTGTTTTTGGGTTTTTGGTGTTTGTTTTGTGTGTTTTTGGTTGTTTTTTTTGTGTGTGGGGTTTGTTTTTTTTGTTTTTTGGGGTGTTTGTGTTGGTTTTGGTTTTGTTTGTGTGTTTTTGTGTTTTTTTGTTTTTGGGTGTTTTTGGGTTGGATTGGTTTAGGGGGTTTTTTTGTTTTTGTTTGGTTGGGTGTGTTGGTTTTTTTTGTGGTTGGGGGTTGGGGTTTTTTGGGGGTG